GTGACAGTCTCATTGTCACAGGTCGGCTCGAACTATGAGGTGAGTAAAAAGCACTCACCTCATAGTTCTCCTTTAAGAAAACTATGGAGAAAAACACCGACCCCATAGTTCTCTTTAATACAGGGATGTAGGAATTGTGTCCTCCAAGAAAATAGTTTTTTGGGCAAAAATCCTAGGAGTACAAAAATCCCATCGTTTCTGGTCCATTTAGGATAACGGAGTTGTATACTGTTGGAACGTGAACAAACAGTCAAACTGAGGGGTGGATAACAGCAAACAATCGCAATGAAAACTAAAACTTTACAACACACACAGGGACCACGGGGAACACAAGTAGCCCCCCCCCCTCCAGAAGGAAGGACAGTGTCAGCACCAAGTCAGAGATGATTGGAGGATCTACAGCCGAGTGATACACAAATAAGATACATTGTTGCTCATAGTTGAGGGACCTGAATGCATTTAAGACTGTTCCTGAGTTCAGCGTCACTTTTAGTAATAAAGTTATTGCTGAATAAACCGGCCCTTAGCAGAAATGGGAAAAAAAAAAAAACTGTTCTGGTCCATGGGGGGGCGGCAGAGGTGAGAGTTGAACTGGTTACATGAAGTAGTGTCTACTGTCCAGGAACGAGCATGCCGTCAATGCATATGCTCATTTTTGCGGCGAGTAGTAAAGCAAGGATAACGATGGTATAACTTGTGTCTTCAAAAAGAAGGACAGGCAGCTCCACTGATCTTATTTCCACAGGTTCTTTTTAAAGAGACAGTCACCTGTCCATTGAGGGCAAAGTGATAGTGCCTCCTGAAAACTCCGAGAAAGTTATACTCGCCAATCCACCGCAGTCCACCCTGGGGTAAGCTCTGGTGCTGCATGACATCACTGCTCCTTCAGGTGACCGTGCTCATGCCTGGCAAATGACTACTGAGGTCACAGCAATGTCCCATGTGGCAGATCACATGCTCCACCATACCTGGAAGCCCCGCTCTTCAATTAACAAAGCCAGGGCTCCAGCGAGTATATATTGTTAGTGGGTGGCTGGTTGGAGGGGCTATCAGCAGGCTCTGTCACTTGGCCCTGATTGGCCAAAGTAATGGTGTCTCTTTAAACGAAAATGGACAAGCAAATGTGAGAAACCAACTAGAAGACCAGTGTTGTGTCTTTGTGCTGATTTAAAAGCAAATTTCACATACAAAGCATGACAAATTGCAATAAAAGAAGATAATGACTGCGGTTCCCTTTAACAAAGAGCCCCATTGAAGCGGGGTTGCAAGGCTGTAAATGAATTATGACCCTGACGAATCTTCATTCACTCACCAATCAGGAATCCCGACAGCAGAGCCACAGACAGTTTGGCGTTGCTCCACACTGCCCCCTGCAGGAACTCGGTGGCCAGCAGCAGAATGCAGTTCTCCAGCAACATAATCTAAAGATACATAGAGGGGGAAATTATTTACAGATACCATCTGCTCCACAAAGCTTCCTACAGGCTGGAACTATGGGACATGAAGAGCAAATGGGGGGGGGGGGAAGATTGGAAGGCATATACCGGGAGGTGATAGTGGCAGGGCCTTTCCCGTTAGCCGCTAACAGGAAATGCCCTGCGTTCCACACGGCGCTCTCACTGGTGGATGGGGGCGGAGCCAACTGGCGGCCCAGCATCTTGTTGCCCCGACTTCAGACTGATGTGTTCTGCACCTGACAGCGGATTGCGCCCTTTCTCCGCATGTTTTCAGGCCAGTAAGTCACCTTTAAAACTTTTCTTTGGCGGTTTTCTTGATTTGAGCATTGATTGGATGTCAGCCAGGGGACCCTGTGCGGCCCTTAAGGCCTCATTCACACACCAACGCAAAATTGTATACTGCGTATATATTAGGGATGCACCCATACTTATCGGCCGAAAATGGCACTTTTGCCATAATGCCAAAAGAGCTATGTTTCGGCCGATACATCGGCGCATCCCTGGTTTCGTTTCTCCCCGCTGGGCGCTGTTCCAAGAAAGTGACAGCCGGCCGAGCGCTGCAGGACGAGAGCGCTGTGGGCGGCCGGCGTCTCCTCCCACACCGCTCAGCCGCCTATCACAGTCCAGCAGAGCGGTGTGGGGGCGGAGACAGCGCTGTCACAGGAGGCTGGGCTTTCCTCTCTACACCGCTCGATCAGCCTCCTGCGACAGCGTGTCAGAGAGAAAAGCAACGTACACACACTCAGTGATCAGCGATCGCTGAGTGTGTGTACATAATTGAGGACATGGTATGTTAACTATATCCTCAATTATGAATGAATGGGAGTGATCTACATCACCTCTACATCACCCCCATTCATTCATAAGTGTAGTTATAGTAAACAAACAATGTTCTCATGTTATCAATGATCAGGAACACTCAGAGGATTCCTGTTCATTGATAACAGGGGACACAGAAAAAGAGAGATAGGACTCTGTGTCCTCAATCTCTTTATTTTAAAAAGGGAAATATCAGGGGTCTGTTTAGATCCCTAATATTTCCCCGAAGCCCCTAAAAGTAACGTAAAAAATAAAATATTTAAAAAAAATAAAAAACATTTTCGGTATCGGTTTTGGCCTGACCTTTTTTTTTTTTTAATTTCGGTTTTAAAATTTCCATTTCGGTGCACCTCTAGTATATACATGCATATATACGAGCGTATATGCGTGCACTATTTGCAGTCCCAGAATGCATCATTCCAAATAGAAATTTTAATGAACTGCACGCACATATGCGCGTAAAATACGCAGAAATACGCTGCCCGGACGCATCTCTGTGCCATTCTGTTTTTGCACATTTTTACGCTACGCAAGTATACGGCTCCATACGCGGCTATGTGTATGGAGCCATTTATTTCCGTATGGTACAATACGCACGTACGCGTGGCAGTGTGAATGAGGCCTAAAGCGCCAGTTTCTGAATGTTTATATTCCTGCAATAATGGACTTTTGCTTATCTCAATGAACATTGGTGTGCTGGTGACATTTATGCAAATTCAGTTTATTCACAGTCGCTTCCGTGGGCACTACAAGCACCCACCTCTCTAACAGGTTATCTTTATCCGGTAAGGAGTGCAACAACATATCTATTCTCTATCCATCACCTAAGGACACCAGCAAAGAGAAAAAAAAAACTTGGGATTGGGAGAGGTTGTATGAGGATCCTCCCAGCCCTGACCAGTGTCCATGCACCCGGCGATACCTACATATTACCCAGCTGTCTCTGAATCTGCCGGTATCCTGTACTGTACAATCAAGGAAAGAGAAGTTCACTGCTGGGGTTTGTATACTCTTTAAATCTTCTAAAAAAGTAAAAAAAAACTCCCCTAAAACTAGGTGCTGGACAGTTAAAGTGACATTAACCCCTTCGTGACTGAGCTAGTTTTCAGTTTCTGTTCATAAATGACTGACACTTTTTACATTTTTGCTGTGTGATTCTTTCACGGCAGTAATATACTTTCTTACTAAATGTACCCACACATATTATATATTGTTTTTTAGAGGACAGATAGGGCTATATAAATTGTATCACATATGTGTACCTAATGCCTCACTTTCAATAAAATAAAAAAAAAACGAGGAAATAAACTAGAAGAAAACACTTTTTTCACAAGTTTTGATTATTTTTTTTAGAATTTGTTTATATTAATTATAGTATAATTTTTATTTTCCTAATTTTACACTTTTCTGGTCAGTTTATATCAAGCAGTCACTATGGGGTCTATTCACAAAAGGGTGAGGAGTTGGGAGCAGGCAGGAGAAGGGAACAATCTAGGCCAACATAGCTGAACTGGAAAGTGAGCTGAATTGGAGAATTGTTCCTAATCAGCTATGGTGTCCTAGATTGTTCACTTCTCCGGCCTCCTCCAAAGTCTTCACCCTTTTGTGAATAGACCTGTATGACTGCTTGATAAATTAACTTTTTTTTTTTAATTTTTGGCTATTATTAGGCTGCTCCAAACTTAGGAACAGCTAATAATAACCTTAGAGACTGATCCTGACTTTAGTCAGATTCAGATCTCACTAAAAGCTCTTTGATCGTGCCTAGACGATCAGAACTGATACATTGCATCTCTTTAGTGAAATGTATCTAAAGATTGGGCTATAGAGCTGTCAAAACAAATAGCAGAGAGGTGAGTCACTGCTACGGGATTGCTAATAGCGGTCCCGTATTTGCATGTAACGGCTTCATTCTTTCATTGATGAAAGGAAGAAGCTTTTACAAAAAGCTTAATTATTTCATTAATGAATGTCTCAATACTGACACATTCATTAATGACTGGTAACCGCTGAGAATCAGCTGTTACCAGAATTACAAAGCCTGATATAACTTGTCACGTACAGTGTGCGTGGCCAGTCATATAGAAGGCCTCATTCACACTGGAAATCGGCCCGCACGTACAGCTCCGTACCGAGCATGAAAAGACAGGTGCTGGGTGTGATTAGTCTGCAGCCCCCGTCCTTCTCTATGGGAGTACGCGGCCGCACACCCCCCTACGCTCACCTCAAGTACAAGTCCGTGTGGGTGCGTGTTTCCTGGCTCGGACGCAGACAGGATCCATCCTGTCAGCGTACGAGTACGCTCACTTGCACGGACGTAGGGGGCGTACGGCCGCGTAGTCCCATAGAGAAGGACGGGGGGCTGCATACTAATCACACGCAGTACCGGTCCTTCCCGGGAGCGGCCCGATACGGCCGTGCACGCAGCACGGAGCTGTACGTGCCGGCCGATTACAGCGTGAATGAGGCCTTATTCTTCTTTCCAGTAGTTTTCAGGAGTCCCTCCAGCGCTGGTGCCGGTCTCTGATCCAGCGCGGACTCTTCGGGTCCAACGGTGTCTGTCTGACATGCTCACTCCCGGCTGCATTCATTCCACCCCTGCTGTGTCCTCTTCTACCCGCCGAAGATCACTACAGCGCATGTGCCCTCGCCATCATCCTGCATGGCCGTACGAGAAGCTTCAGATCTTCAGAAAAAAGCGAGCGGCGGAGGCACGGGCAAAGTATTTACCTTTTTTGGTAACTTTTTGCCATAGCTGTAGATTTATGTAAAAGCAAAAAAAATAATGTCACTTTAATTCTACTTTAAACTGAGCAGAGGAATGCCACGCCTGGCCTTACCACATAAAAGATAGCAACACGATACCGCGAGGGCCCATCCCGGACATTAATAAAGCAGAAGACATAGACGGCTCCGAGGAGGATATTGAAGAGTCTCCAGTAACACGGCTTGCTGATAACATCGGTCTGCTGAGCCACCAGCCAAAAAGACATCACCAGCCAGTGAGCACCTGCACAGACACAAAGAGACCCAGACACTGAGCGCATCTTTCCAGACTCCCTGCCAAGACACACATACACCGGACTGCTGTGTAAGATTAGATGTACACTGCACACATGAGGGGAGGGTGCTTTAAAGGCCTTTACCAGCTTTGCGTTGACAGCAGATGATGGCCCTAGTATTATTGCTCTCACTCCGACATTCATAGTAGTAACTAACGTGTGCGGTGCAATTTGCTTTACAATCATCTTTTGCCATGTTTATTTATTTTATTACGTTTCATTTAACACTTTCCTTTTTTTTTCTCTCCACTTACCGCATTTTGCGTTCCATAAGACGCACCGGTCCATAGGACGCAGGGTGGTCCGGTGCGCCTTATGGAGCACTGGACAGACCGTAGCTTCTGTGACAGAAGCTGCAGTTAGTGACCGCTGAGACAGGTGGCGCTGTGATTACAGCGCCACGGTCTCAGTGATCACACAGAGCAGACGAAGAACGTCCGTTCTTCGTCTGCTCTATCACCGCCGCTGCTCGGTTTTAATACAAGTGATCTAATCAGATCACTTGTATTAAACGAGCAGTGGCTGCTACTGTACATTTAGCTCTGCTTTAGCAGGGCTAAATGTACAAAAAACTACTCGCCTGGCGCCCGAAACTGCATGTCTCGGGCGTCGGGATTCGCTCCATAAGACGCAGGCACATTTCCCCCCTCCTTTTGGGGGGAAAAAAAGTGCGTCTTATGGAGCGAAAAATACGGTAATTGTATTGCTATCACATAGGGGACCAACAAGCCCCTATGCAATAGCATATGGGCAGGAGACAGATTCTCTTTATGGAGACATGCTGAAATGCCGAGCAAAAAGCTGATTCAGCACAGGATTGCGCCTGATCGTCTGTATATCCGCCATTGTAGCCAGGCTTGGAAAGCAAGAGCAACCAGCACTTCCTGAGTCAGTTACTGCAGAGCAGATCTGCTCCTGCTTGCCATCCTGAGTGCATTTACCATGGTCCCAAGTAGGGATGCACTGATACTTTCCAGAGACCGGTGCCGATACTTGGCATTTTCATGAGAACTACCACTATTGCAGCTGGGACCGGGCTCTGGTGCTCCACCGCTGTCCTGGAATCATTAGTCTGTATTGTTTTAGAACCCCCGCTAGAATGCCCCCTTACATGGTTTGTTCCCTTTAGCGTGCCCCTTTATATTATTGCGCCCACATGCTTTAGTTTACTATGTTATTAGTAGGCCAGAGCTGGGAGGTGGAGCAGATTGCAGGAGAGGAAAGATACTCTTCCGTCCTCTTGTAATTCTGGGAACGGGGAACATATTTGACGTCACTAGTTGCTAGGACTGCAAGCGGTCCTAGCAACCAATGACTGCAGGGGAGGTGAACACCTGATGTCATTGGTTGCTAGGACAGACAGCGGTCCTAGCAACCAATGACTGCAGGGGAGGTGAACACCTGAGTCATCGGTTGCTAGGACGGCCAGCGCTCCTAGCAACCAATGACTGCAGGGGAGGTGAACACCTGATGTCATCGGTTGCTAGGACAGACAGCGGTCCTAGCAACCAATGACTGCGGTGGAGGTGAACACCTGAGTCATCAGTTGCTAGGACGGCCAGCGCTCCTAGCAACCAATGACTGCAGGGGAGTTGAACACCTGATGTCATTGGTTGCTAGGACACCAGTGGTCCATCAGCCAATGACTGAAGAGAATGGGAGCCTGCACTGGACTATGGCACCGGCCTCGAAGGCAAGCTCATCCACTGTCAGCCAGCCATAGCAGTCCAGATAGGACAGCGGGCCTGAAAGGGACAATCTCCAGGTCTGCTCTACAGCCAATTGGATCACTTTTACCCGATACCCGTGAGCGGACTGAAAAGAATGACAGTGACACCACGCTTACTACTGCAGCAGCACCATTTGAAGTCCATGGCATATAAAAACATAATTTGTGGACTTCAAAGATAAAATGAATAATGTAATTCTCGCCCTTATTCCAAAGCTGTCCCTTGCTGTACGATGTAAGCCTAGGTCTGCTTTACAAATGTTAGCCGTGTTCCCGTGTCGTGCTACCCCACTGGGTTCAGGGCTTTCAATCACAGACATGGAACAAGAATGCAAAAACACAAAAATAAGATGTTCCTGCACACTTGTTCCAGGTCAGTGTCGCCATTTATTCCAGGAAGGGAGTGTGCATGCCAGCCAGGACTCTGGTAATATCAGAACAGACCATCAATGGCAGCCGCCACGCTTCTCGCCTGAAAAGTGTCTAAACTCATCATGGGTACCATCACGCATTCACGGGTACGACCACGCATTCACGGGTACGACCACACATCACGGGTACCATCACACATCACGGGTATGACCAGGCATTCACGGGTACAAACACGCATCCACGGGTACAAACACGCATCCACGGGTACAAACACGCATCCACGGGTACAAACACGCATCCACGGGTACAAACACGCATCCACGGGTACAAACACGCATTCACGGGTACAATCACGCATTCACGGGTACAATCACGCATTCACGGGTACAATCACGCATTCACGGGTACCATCACAGTAAACAATGTACAGTCAATTCTCACCTGCCACAGCAAACACCCAGAAGTGATAGGCTCTGGCAAACACCACTAAGGCCATCACACGGGTGCCGACCATGCCCATCCTCCACAGGAGCTGGCACAGCACAGATGCCCATGGCAGGCACAGGTGCCCGGGTCTCAGGAGGCACAGGAAGTGACTGAAGGAGACCAGTGCCCAGGACACAGACAGGAGGCATGCCAAAGAACAGCTGGCTGGAAAAAAAAAAAAGACAATAGAAACAAGAGGTTATACATTGGAACCAGTATTTTCATGTAAACTGGACAATAAAGACCGGTCACTGATGCTCTCACTCCTTGTGCAGGGTGAGTGGTCTTGTCTCCGCCCCCTCCTGTAATAAAGACCGCTCAATGCGGCTCTCTCCTCCTGCAGGGTGACGGGTCTCGTCTCCGCCCCCTCCTTTAGTTTTCTGCAGCTTGTAGTGGGCCTGCAATGCAGGCAGATCACAGCTGGTGGGAGGGGACAGTAGGGTGCTGTACACAGCTTCCTGAAAACATCACAGCACCCTTCCTCCTCTCAAAAGCCCCTCAGGCCTGATGCAGGCAGTAGACTGGATTTTGGGAGGGGTTGGCAAATATCAAAATGCCTCGAAAGGTGGGTATCAGTCCGGAGGAGTTGGCATTCCTCGGCAGGCTGTATTTGAATACAAAAGGCCCTAGATAACACCTTCATGTGATGCCGAGCCTCCATGACTGAAAGAACTTCAATATATTAAAAGGGGTGGGGCCAGGGGCAGTCAGGCTGGGGAGAAAAGAGCTAGATGATGCTGACTTGCTGCGGCCTCTAATGTACATTGTGAGAAGCTCACAGTGTGTAGGGAAATCAGAGGAAGCCATTTCAGTCCAGGAGAGGAGCCGGTACAACTGTGCAGGGGAAGGCCGGAGGTGCGGTATGAGACTGAAGGGAAGGCCGGAGGTGCGGTATGAGACTGAAGGGAAGGTCCATCGAGTCCAACCTATAGAGATACAGAGCAAAAAAAAGCCTAAACAGAACACTATGCCACAATTACCCCCCGTTGTTGATCCAGAGGAAGGCAAAAAAACCCCTATAAAGCATAGTGCAGCGCAATTGTCATTTTTGCGCGCTGGGGCACCGGACGCGTATTTACGTTTATAGGCGCGTAAACGTGGGGGTGGGGGAGTTAAACATTTTGGGGTTTTTTTCCCCCCTTTTTTATGTAACTTTTATTTTACTTTTTTATGTGTTACTTTTATTTTGTTTTATTCATATTTGTTTATTTGCACTTATTGTTATTGCTATTATATATGGGGGGTAACAACAAAACGAGCACATATAGACTATCGGCGGGCTATGGACCCGCTGATCGCCTATATGTCAAACACCCGGTAACGGGTGTGTTTAATCGTCGGGTCTTTTCTGCCCGTGCGTGCCCGCTAGGGGGCGCGCGCGAGCAGAAAAAAAATGCCGTCTGGAGACGGCAACCCGCCAATGCTGCAGCGCCGTCCGTCCGTTTTTACTACGGGCGGACGGCAAGTGGTTAAGCCTGGAATGTTTCATAGAGAGTTTTGCTCTCCGATGTGAAGAGTTGCTTTCACCCACCTTCCATCACACACCTTACCCGCATAGATATCGGCCTGCTCCATATAAACATAGGTCTGGAGCAGTAACTGGGGGAGGGCCTGAAGAAGAGCTTCCATGAGCCGCAGAAGAGACAGGTCCCCTTGCTTCATCAGCAGCTCCCTCTCCTGACAGATCTCATCACCTCTTCCACACAGAGCCAGGCGCAAACACTCCACGTGCCTGAAACACAAAAAACACACGTGGTCTGTGCTGGGAAGAGGACGTCTAGGCCTCCAGGGTCTGACTCTTGCAGTGGGGCCTATCCCATGCACTGCGAGCCATAACTGATCATTGTTCCCCAGGCACTGGAATAAAGAAGATATACTCACCCGATCCACACACCCGCTTGGCTGCTACACCGGACCCCGCAGCCTCTTCTTCCCCGCAAGCTGGCAGTCTAAGGATCCACGATGTCAACAAATCTAATGCGAGTGCATTAGACACAAAAAGGGGCGTCTCTGACACTAACTAGCCATTGCATAAAATGCATTTCTATAGCGCAGTGAACCTGCCCGCACCCACAAAGCTTTCTTGCCAACAGCTGCAAAGTGATTTGCAACTAACGATTATTTTCACAATCAGTTTGCCGATTGTTTTTTTTCTCATTAAGTCGGATACAAAAAAATAAATAAAATACCACCCTTAAAAGGAGAACTATGAGGGAGGCGCTTTTCACTCACCTCATAGTTCTAGCCGACCTGTGACAATGAGACTGGTCACAGGTCGGCTCAGTAGATCGGGAGGTGAGCGAACACATACCGGCGCTCGCTCACCTCTCGATCTGGTCACGGCAGAGAGCCGTGACAAGGGAGGGGCTGGATTCCCCCCTCCCCGATCCTCCAGCGCTGACTGGCGGAACGGACGGGGGAGGGGGCCGGTACAGCTGGCTCTGCCTCTAGATAGGCAGAGCCAGCTGTCAGTCACGCAGCTGGGCGGATCCAGAAAGTATTGTCGGGATCCGTCCCGGCTGCGGTGTCTCAGTAGCTCGCGGTATACTGAGCTTTGGGTGACGGGAGGACGCTAGTTTGTGTCCTCCCGTTATCCTTAGGAGAACTATGGGGAAAAGCCTTAACCCCATAGTTCTCCTTTAGGGCCTGTTCACACGACGTCCGTTTTTTGTACCGGCTCCGTACGCTGCTGCACTCAAAATGCATCCCAATGTGTTTTATGGGCTCTAGTTCTCACGTGCGCGGACTGAGCGAACTGAAGGAGAAAGTTATGCGTCAGGTACTCGTCTGCTGATTGACAGCAGGCAGAGGGCGGGTGCAATAGCCAGCCTGCTATTGGCTATCACAATTTAAAATAACCAACAGGCTGGATATTGCTCTCAGCCGCTGAGGTGAGCTTTGACACCTGCTTTCCACTGCCGGCAGAAGAGGGGGCACGGGGCAGCATGGAGGAACGGCGGCACCAGTGAGCAATGCAGAGGCACACTGGTCTCTCCTCCCTGCTGGGGCCGGCTGCAGCGGTCCGTGTCCCCACTGCCTCTGCCAATACAAGCAGTGAGAGCAGCAGGGATTGAAAGGGACACAGACCGCTGCAGCCAGCACCGGCATGGGGAAGAACGAAGAAGCAGAGAGGCGGCAGCAACTAATCGGTGATGAAAATTGTTGCCAACGATTGTCATTATCGATTAGTTGTTGCAGCCCTATTTGCAACCTTTAGTACAGCTGCAGCTCAACATCCCAAATGGGAAACGCCCGATGCACAAACCCACAAGATTTAGCAGTGGACTTAGTCGTCCAGGGTTTATAAAGGTTTACCCTTACTGTGAGACTACCCCGCCTCCCACCGCAAGGGTTAACTGCTCGTTTTTCTTCAGGGGACGGAATAAAGAAGAAATACTGATCCGATCCTCGGTTCCTCCTGGCTGCTAGACTCTTCTCCCCGAGCTCTGGCAGTCTAAGGACCTGCGACGTCAATACGTGTAACATAGGTGTATTAGACGTGAGGATGCTGAGGGACTTACAACAGAGATGAGAGGTCACGGCTGCAAGACCGAGGATCGGGCGAGTATTTCTTCATCTTACCCCCTAAACAAGTATTCCCCAGACCTACACGCGCATGTTACCCTTGCAGTGCCGGGGTAGCCCAAATCCTGACCACACTCATTTCAGTCAATCCGTACCTCTTCAAGATGCCCAGCTGGAAGAAGTGGACCAGGCTCATCAGGAGGCATCGCGGGTGTCCATCGGAGTGCAGCCAGGCAAAGCTGAGAGCCTGGATGAGGCAGCCGGGAAGGAGCAGGCCGAGGGTCCATCCCGCCCACAGGTACTGGGCCGTGAGGAAGAAGTGTAGCACCACCGCGCACTCTGCCAACAAAGAACAGCATGGGATGAGACGTTTAGAGTCGTGTGCATGTGGAGGAAGATTCTCACCAAACAATAAGACATTTCTGCTGAGCTATTATCAGCACCGGGGACCCTCCATCCCTGTACCCGAACCCGTCCTTTGCCAGATAACAGGATTCTCTTCACTGGATGGACTGCATGCCCCGTGCGTCCATCCCCTCCGTTCTGATCCAACACTAGTATGACGGACACACACATTGGGGGGCATTTATCAAAACTGGAGCAGAGAGAGAATCTGGAGCAGTTGCCCAGGGCAACCAATCAGCTTCTCTCTTTAGTTTGCACGGGTAAGATTTGAATATGAAACAGAGAAGCCGATTGGTTGACGTGCAGATTTGCTCCAGATTTGAATAAATCTCTCCCCCCCCCCCCCTCACTCTTAAAAGAGGTAGGCAAACCTCGGCACTCCAGGTGTTGTGGAACTACAAGTCCCATAAAGGAATACAGAACCCCGACAGCCACAGGCATCAGATATATGCAAGAGTTTAATTCTACTTTAACCCTTGCAGTAAGGGTACCCTCACACCAGGGGCCAAGTGTTCATTCGGGTCTGGGTGACAGGATAAAAAGAAGATATACTCACCCGATCCTCGATTCGGGAGTGTTGACCGATCATCTCCCCTCCCGCTGTGGTATGTCCCTTGCCATCCTCACATCTAATGCAAGTGAATGAACCTTGCATAGACGTGATCAGGTCAGCAGGGCTTAGGCCGCCGGAGATTGAGGGAGAAGAGGCGGTGGGGACCGGTCTAGAAGCCAGGCGGCTTAACTTGATTTGAGCCCCTAGACCAGCGGTTCTCAACCTGTGAGTCTCGACTCTGTCGGGGGTCCAATGACGATTTGCCAGGGAGTCTCCCTTTATTAAAAGGAGAACTATGAGGGGGGGCAGGGGGGGTGCTTTTCACTCACCTCATAGTTCTAGCCGACCTGTGACAATGAGACTGTCACAGGTCGGCTCAGTAGATCGGGAAGTGAGCGAACGCATACCGGCGGTCGCTCACCTCTCGCTCATGTCACGGCTCTCTGCCGTGACAGGGGAGGGGCTGGATTCCCTCCTCCCCGCTCTGCCAGCGCTGACTGGCGGAACAGACGGGGGAGGGGGCGGGTACAGCTGGCTCTGCCTCTAGATAGACAGAGCCAGCTGTCCCTCACGCAGCTGGG